GTAATAAGACGACTTGGTGGAAGTAAATTGCGACGGATTGGCGGTGGTTCCCTGTATTATAACTTGAAAAGACTTTAATGCGTAGTGAGAAAGATGACGGTAAATTTTTAAAATAATTTTATTCTTTGATAGTGCACATCATCACTATGCATGCACTATGCACCCCACAATTTTATACAGCTTGCATGTCTTAAACAATGGAGGAAATCGGAAAAGTAAAACTAGCAGCAAGGCGACACAGGAAAAGAAGCAGAGGTGAAGAGCGAAGAGAAAGTGTTGTGACACCGATAAGTGCGGATCAGAACTGCAGGGAGTTTAGTTAGAAAAATTATTGCTCTTCTATTATAATGAAAACGGCAGTTAAAAGGCTTATTATTAATCTATTATTTGATATATTGATATTTTATATTTTACATATCCCCCCTTTAAAAGAAAGGTTGGAAAAGCTATTGGGAGAGAAAACATTAGTGTATTAGCGAAGCAAGAGAAAGTTTATCATATGAGGAAAGGCATGAGGAAGCATCAGGGACATAGCTTGCAGGTTTTCCTATGTCCCATCATTGTTCATGAACTTTCTCGTATACAGATTATGAAATACTTAAACAAATAATTTACAACTATTATAACAACAATATAATCGCTAAATAAAACTGAATAATGAATTAACACAAATATAATTTTTTAAATCTTAAAGTTCTTAAAATGTCTAATAAAAAGTTCTAAAATTTCTTTGATGAAAATTGTTCTACAAAGTAAATGTTCAATAAAAGTCCTTTATTTTTTTTTCATGAAAATATTTCCATAGATTTGCCAAATTTCATATATATATATATATAGAGAGATAGATAGATACATTATGAAATGATATATATATATTGATTGCTCTCTCTCTATATATATATATATCACACGCACATACAAGCCAGCGCGGCAGGCCGCTTAAAGCAATTGCTATAAAGAAGAAGAAATATGTAATGCTTTTAATGAGTCTGCTAGTGTCATTTCACGATTCCAGCTAGTAATAAATAAAGAACTGCGTTTATTGCTTTTAAATTGTTTAATTTGTTAGTCAGGAACAGATAGATTGCAGTGTTTCTTTGTACCTGGAAGCTTGAGTTAAAGCATTGCACACCCTACTAGAGAAATAGCGAGTTATCGCTAGGTTTTAAACAATTCATAAAATACAGAAGAAAGTTAAAATAACCATTTTTACTTAGTCTTAATGTTAGACTAAGCAAAGCTTCTGCTACAGCAGCTTTTGTTTCCACTACTTGTGGATATTTAAATTTAATATAACAGACAACTAAAATGCTGATAACGCAGTCTAAGACTACACATTATATAGACTAAAAATAAGCAGGCTCTGGCATTTTGCCTTCGTGTATTAAAAGCAACGGCTAGCGAGAATGCTAAAACAAAATATAAGTTTTCAAGCAGAATTCGCGAAAATACCAACAGCGAGAGGCAATAGCTAAAAGCTCTGATCTAAAGATTCAAAACCGGAGCTTAACTATACAACCCAATTTGCAGTCTGGTGAGGAATATGGAAAAGAGAAGTTTAGTAAAGACCTAAATCACAATAACTGGTTATTTAATGTAACATACTTTAAAAGATTAAATTTGAAAGAAAAATGTTTTACTCTTCGCTAATGGCAACAAACTGGTGCGAAGAAGATAATAATATTTTATCCACATTTTACTTTTAAATCGATGAATTTTCTGATTAAATTTTAAACATTAGTATATTATTCTTTACAAAGTGCCCTTACATTATTTTTAAAACGTTGAGTTTGTTGATGAAGAAATTATTTCATTCGCAGAAAATATGAAATAATCAAAAACACATTCAATTCAAAACACGGGCTTCGAGATGCACTTGTTAGGTGGAAGACTACATGCGTTCAAAATTATGTGGCTCTAGGTGCGGCCGTTTTTTACAAAGCAAGGAACATATATATTTAATATTATAATACATATATATATATATATTATTATTATTATTATAAGTAAGGTTGTAAGAACAAACGAAAAAAGACTAATTAAGGTCAAAATTTTGCGCATTGTGCTGCAAAATTAAGGAAATTAGAAGATAAATTTTAGTAAGCACGCTAATATATATATATAATTACAAAACAATTTAAAAAAATACATAATATAATCATGCCAAGTATTTTCGCGCATAAAGCTTCTGAAAAATTATCAGCAAAGACATAAAGTAAAAAAATTTAGAACCAATTTTTCACAATGAGCAAAAATTGAAATTCATGAATAATAAATTTCATTAAATCCTATAAATGTACAAAAGAATTTAAAAAATGTTAAAATACTTCAAACAAATAATACCCTAATTAAAAAAAAATCAATGAAATTTTAAGAATAAAGAATATAAAAGAAGAGGAATTCAATCAACTTCAATGCCACTTCATCAGAAGAAGGAACATTGAAATCAATTGAAATATCTCTTTTATAAAAAATCCTTTCTTTTCTGTATCCAGAATTAGCCGATGAATCATTCAAATGTATTTTAATTATAATAGTTCACCCGACAATTCTGGCGCATCCCTAAAGCAAGGAAACACAAAGTGAATTATAATCAAAATTTTATCTTTAAACAGTATCTCTATATATAGAAATGATATACATATCTAAACAACCTCTCTCTATATAGAAATGATTACCGAAATTTATGAATTAAAAAAATTAATTAGTACGATAAAATGACAGATTTAAAAAACAAAGCTTTTTAATGACAATTTGGGGAAAAGGAAAATTATTTTTTTAAATAAAAATACTGTTGTATGCTGATAAAAACATTTCATTTCGAATACTTTTGTTGGAAAATATTGAAGAATCTTTCCAGAAACTTCTTTGTGTTTCCTTTCTAAGGAATGAAAGCCATGCTCGGAGTGGGGATACACTGAAGGAGCATCTTATCCCATAATGCGCCACGAATTGAAACACCACGTGATAAATGAACTCGCGACGTCGTTTTCCATTTCCCCATCTTTTATCTACATTCCTCCATCCTCGGGCCATTCTATCTGGAATTCAATAACATTACGCAGACACAAGAAAATTCACTTCCCTTTGTTTTACTGTTGTTTTTAAGGAAGGGAAGATCTTGGTGTCGTTCTCATTAATCTAATGATCGGAGGACTGGCATAAATCAGATTTCGTTTCTTTTAAAATCAATTGATCAATATTAAGATATAACAAAAGACAGAAATAATCTGAGGTGGACACCACATGACTTTCTTATACGGCCTATTAAATTATACACATTTTTTGCTGCACTTCATTTAAACTTATTTCTTCGAATTATTCTAACTTAACTGATCCCTCGAAAGAAGTTGAAACTGACGTCAAAAATTGCAAATTTTGAAATTAAATACCCCGGTCAATTTTCATCTTACGGAAGCGAAATTTCTTATAAATTCATTTTTTCAAAACAAGTACAAAATTTTCCCAAATATAAGTATAGGACCCTAGAGACCCCATCAAAAGTTAGAATTCGTTATTTCTCCACAATATTTTTTTAAAATTTGAAACTGCAGAAACTCGAATATTTTCCTCATTTAAAACACTTCTGTAACTGCAAGTATATGATTACGACGAATGATTGAGAAAATAAAGCCCGGCCAAAGACAATACTAATTGTTGGCAAAATTTATATCATAATTACAAGATCGACTATAAAAAGAAATTTAATTGGAATTTTCCGCTTGATTTTATACAGTTGACACTATATGTTAATCTAAAAATCAAAAAACACATCGTATTTTCACCATTTATGGAAATTCCAAAACGCATATTAATGCAAAATTGTCTCAATAGACGGAACTCCTATACAGTTACAAGTACCATATCACATGACATTTTAGTTGCAGTATAAGCTATTAACTTTAAAAACGGTTTATTTAGTGCAGGATGGACATGAGTTTTTACAAGGGAAAATTTCTTACAAGTAACCGGTCTTAACCATCCTCACCCCCCCCCCACCACCACCAATGACAGAGAGATTTAAGTCCGCTGAATGCTGGAAGGTTGATTCGAATTCGATCTCAAGCGAACCAACCGGCTGGCTGCATGGAAGGTTTATTATGGTTACGAGCTAATTTCCTTAACAGTCCTCCAAGAAAGCATTTCTTTTCTTAGGCAGATAGCTCTCGTGTGCTTTGCCATGTTCAAATAGCCTAACCATTTCTGGTTAACCATTTCAGTCTGGTCTGGTCTAACTATATCCAGACTGGTGACTGATAACCTAACCAGTCAATAGATTGAAAATCTATTCAGCCGAAATAGAAAAGCGTCAAAACAATAAGTCATAAAATCGCAAACTAGCAACCTTGTGTTTGGCGTAGATTTTAGTCAAGACACTATCGATTACGAAGGCAAGCAGGTACAGGTTCCTCTTCATCAGGAGCAAAGAAATCTATAACGAAGGGAAAGTCACGGTTGTATTTATACCCAAAAGGAGTAAAGCGAACCAGAAAGTAGCGCCATCTGTCACTAGAAATTGTAACGAAAACTGAAATATTAAGTTAACAGAATTTTAAAAGCCTTGGGAAGGACTAGATGACTAATTCAGTTCAAGATTTGTACGACGATGTTTTCCTCTTGCGTTGTTTTTCCTCCGACGTTTTCGTCAGCGATCTTCTTAGTTCGATATTTTCACCTGTGACCGTAAGAAATACATGTAGAAAGCTGAATTACAATAAAGTTCTTTTCCTTCAATCTCGAATTACTATGAATTCTGACCTAAATATTTGTAAACGCACAACTGCAAATATACTGTAATGGGGTTACAGGAAATGGGAAACTAGGCTTAGCTCAAAAACACAATGCCATATCTTGTATATTTACATCTAATCACTTCGTAGAAATATCCAGCAAAACTTAACTTGTTCATAAATACATAAATGAGGTTTTCATACTTATTGAATACTGTTTACATTATTTAAAATTTTAACTTTGGGGGGGGTTGAAAATATTTTACTTACAGCTATAACTGCGGAAATGTTGACAATGTACCACCTTTTCGTTCGTGCACCTACCTCCTCCGCAACTGCAACGAAAATCAAATCATCTCGCCATCTGCATAATCCGCCGCAAAGTTTATTCCCAAGCAAACAAACTCGAAAGATAAGAACTATGAAAAAAAGGCATCTTTTTTGGCTTCTTCCCACATAAAAATCGATCGAGGGAAGCATTGGCTGCTGACATCGGTGAATGTCCTTCTAGCTGGACGCCATGAAAATTGTCACTTCTGGATTGTCACTTCGTTTCTGAAGTAGAACACCATACATTTACAGTGAAAATTACATTTATTTTCTTTAAAAAGCGTTAAAAAGTTTAATGTTATCAGCATATTAAAGAATATTTACCATAAAATTGGAATTTTTAGCTATGCAGGGATCATATGAAGAGCTGAATTTTATTTTGACAGAACCCTCCCACACACAGTACTGGAACTGCCAAATAAATACTGCAATTGGATAATCAATATTGTTGCTAATCATTAAAGGAAAATACAAGCCGAGTGGTTAAAATCGCTAAATATTGGAAATTCGACCTAGGTTCGATCTCAGGGGAAATGAGCTGGCTGCATGGATGGTTTTCGCCATGCGTTACCGTGAATACGAACTAGTTTCCCTAACAAAGTCTTCCGCGAAGAAATCTCTTCCTTTACATGCAGACAGCTCTCATGTGCTTTTTCATATTCAAATAACTTAACCTAACAATTAAAGGCTAAAAATGTTTACTGTCAATAATTAAGCCTGCCGCAACGTTTGAGAGCACAGTGCGGTAATACGCATGTCAGTGTTGTATAAAGGAGAGAACATTTTGGATGCTCGAACTGTGTGTGTTGAAGTATCTAAAATGAAGTTAAGCCCGTTTCCATTAGTGCGTTGCGAACGCGTAGCGTCATTGGGAGAAACGCATAAGCAGACGGACGACCGTTTAGATTTGCGCTTTCGGAAGCTCGGTGGTCAATTCATTCATTGCCACCAGATGTCTCTGTATTTAACTTACGGGATTCGGACTCGTAAGATATTTAAATTCGATGTTATTGGGAAACTTTTATCTCTGCTTATGAACAGTGAAAGTAAAGCACGTTAGCAATTTTTAGATAAGTAAGGTTATAATGCATATTATGAACATCTCTAAATGCATAGAAGCTGAAGTAATTTTTAAAAATTTCTTTGCGTTTCAAGAAGCCTTAAATATTAATGAAATAATATATAATTAAAACTAAAATGTACTGCTACTGCAAAACAAATAAAAAACGTTACACACATTTAAAAATAGATGGTACGTTAAAAATACAGAGCAACTGTAAAGAAAGGTTCACAATATTTACAAAACAATAAAAAAAAAAAAATTTTTTTTCGCGTTTCGAAAGGTTGCGGGGGGGGGGAGAGAATTGAGAGGTTTCAGATTTTTACGGTCGCTCAAAAGCGTTTGTTAAGGTTTTCACATACTCGCTAAGCTTGCAAACTATTAGCTACCTCTTGCATACACTCTTGATTTTTTCCTAAGGTCTTTTTTAAGCTTTTAAACATCGTTTTCTTTGTACCTACGCAACATATAGTTCATCACAAAATTTTTAAAAGGTGCATAGCAGCACATATTCAGGATTCCCGTTGCAGTATTAAGTTTGTTGGTAAAAGTATTTATATTTTTGCATTCTTTTTTCAATTCATCATATCAATGCTCAGTTTTCTTAGTAAGATGGCTTACAAAACTTTTTTTTCCCTTGGTCTTTCTATTATTAACGTTTTGTTTGTTAACTTCATTTATTTAACATCATGTTCTTCACACTTACACTACATAAAAATTCCTTTCGACAGCAAAATACCAAATCATTTTAAAAACAGCATATATTTAGAATTCCCAAGAGAGAGTTACAGCTTGCCATACATATTATTATGCATATCTATATTATTTCTTTAAAACTAGCCGCTTACACGGCCAACGGCATAAAAATGTTATCATGAAAAAGAAAAAAATATAATGGTTTTAATGAGCTAATGTTATAAGATATTTCTCAGGCCTTCTTAACATGCCTTCATAGTGCAGTGGTCAGCACGCTCGACGCGATTTCAAGAGGTCCGTGGTTCGAGTCCCGGGGATGGCATTGCAAATTTTTGATCTCTTCTGCTTTCAAAAAATACCTAATGTCTCTACAATGGCGCCTGACTAAAAAAGGTGGTTGATGATGATTCTTCACTAACAGGATTTGGCGATTGGGTCCTTTAATCCCCAGTCATCCTTTAAAAGGAGGAGTATATAAGGTATTTCTCCCGCCTTCTTAGCATGCCTTCGTAGTGTAGCGGTCAGCACGCTCGGGGCGTATTCGAGAGATCCATGGTTGAGTCCCGGCGAAGGAGTTGCACATTATTTCATCTCTCCTGCTTCGAAATAACCTAATGCCTCAACAGTACATTTTCTTAGAAATACTGAATATTTCTAATTAGACATCTCATGATTTTAATATACGTTAATTTAAATCAATCGGATTAAAAAGTAGAAAATTTATCCCTAAGAAATATATTTATTGCTTTTAAATTGCTTAGTTTATTACTCAGTAACATTCCACATTAAATTCAGACCATTCCAGAAAAAAAGGGAAAAACCATTTCTTGCAATATGTAAATGCACATGGTTTTGAAAAGGTAACACAGAAATTAAAAAAATTAATACTGTTTAGAAAAATAAAAAATTCTTAAATTTACTGTAGTTTTTAACACTATCTGTTTTTAAAAGTATTTCCTCTTCTAGTTTGAATAGATACTTTTCTCTACCTTTGAATGGTAACGTGAAAAATAATGGGAAGTGCACTGATTTAGAAAACAAGAAGTGGCAACAGCGTGATATAGAACACTCTTTCGATCTAGTTTTGTGCATCATGAATGCTGTTGTTGAGAAATTAGATTAAATTATTTTGTTTTCATATTCTAATAAATTCGTTTTAAAACTATACTGAGTATTTTTGAAGATCGAATTAATATTGCAACATTACATGTAGAAATTTAGATGCGCCCAACCTTAAACAGTTATCGCAGAACTTGTTAGATACGCAGCGCCTATTATTGTTCATTTCGAATTCCATTTAGCTAATATAGCTAATTTGTGATTCTGTTTTGGTAGAAAATCTTCTATTAAGGAAAATTAGTAACAGTAATTAATGAACTTTTTACCACGTATAAATTGAAGAAAGGAGAATAAAGTATTTAAACAGTTAAAAAAATACCAATTTTAGATACATTAGATACATAGGATAACATACATGATATAATAAAGATTTCATAAAATTGCAATAGCAATTGAATTGCCGCAATTACTATTGAACAAAAGCTAATTTCTCATTACACTAATGTGTTAGGACCTATAGTACTGAGAGAGAATCAAGCTACTAAATGGCAACAAAATGCCTACAGAAGAATCATTTATCGATTAAACTGGGCAAGAGGAAATAAATACTGATGTCTAGATGATGTATCTTACTTATCTTGTTCAGGTCTTGTTACCGAAACGGAAATTAAATACAAATAGATCTTAACAGCCAGATAAAGCAAGGAGTAGTAGTAACTTAAAGATCTACTCACAGAATACAAAATGCTGGTAATGCCTATTGATTCCAGAATGGGAAAACGTCTGCAGAATCCATAATGGCGGGATCGGAAGCTCGAATCTTAATTCAAAAAGGAACAAGTTGCTAAGCAACGCCTCATGAGAAACAAACTTACAGAGTGAAATCAAATTAAACTTTTCAATGGTAATGTTATTATTGAAGATCTGACGACATTGCCTGCATAAAAGAACGACTTCAAGTGACAGAAACTTCAACATCAAAGAAAATTTAGGTGGAAGAAAAGAATGGCAACTATATAATTAGGTCGAATTTATTTTTAGAATAAAATTAATCTTACAGTAATGTTTTGTGCAATCCGATGACATTAATTTTTCTTCAAAACACAAAAATATTTTATGCCGTTTTGCTATAAATATGTCTCAGAAATATACGAAATAAAAACATACGCTAACTGTATGATTCTGTTCTATCCAAAGTGTTCTATCTATAAATTCTGTTTTATCCAAGGTGCTAAACAAGCTTTGTTTCAAAAGTTTGTATTTATTAATCCAAACGGGCAATTTGCCCTGAAGGACTGTTAATTTCGTTTCGGCATTTTGCGTTGAAAACTATAAACGGCGAATCACTTTTCAAATTTGGCCACCAAAAATATTATCGCCCTGTATTATATTTAAAGAAATTAAATAATGAAGAATCTGCATAGATGTATGTATGTTTCTCGCATTGTGATAAAACAACGGTACCTAGAGCCATCAAAATTCGTATAACGTAATCTTCCATACAATATGGGCATGTGGAAGCCCTAATTTGAATTTGAAATTTGTTTTATTATCGATTTCATATTCTGTAGCACTTCAACGAATTTTTGATTACAAGCTAAACGATTTCAAAGCGAGCAATGGCAACACTGTACGGAAAAATATACATTTTTACCTCCTGCGCACGAGTATATTCTCTGTATTGGAAATTGTAAAGATATGCTCCGTTTAAAATTATTTTGCGATATTGCTGTTGAACTAAATTTTATGGTTTGACTACGTAGAACATGATATTTAATAAATAAAAGTAACACACAAAACGTTTAAAAAGCGCCCCTTTGGACGTAAATTAAATTCTGAAACCTTTCAATTTTTTTTCCTTTTAGCTTGAGAGATATAGTTATCCTTTCTCTATTATTTATTTACGCGAAGTCTAGTTAAATTAACTTTTTATGGCAAAAGGGAAGGATTTTTTTTCGGAGGGGACACAGTGCGTTGGGCTTTTCCATTAAACTATTGCGAACTTAAAATAACATATTTAAAAGTTGTTACACAGTTTCTTTAGTATCTAGAAAGCGACGAATAGTAATTTTTAAAAATTATTATTGAAGTATTATATTAATAATTTATTGATCAGGCTAATGCACCGTAAGCTATAGACATGGC